GTAAAGAGCTTTGAGTATGTTGATAAGATAGAAAGGTGTATAAATTTACAGTCCATTTACCATTCCATTTAGTAGACTTTACTAATTACAGGGGTTGATTCTGAGGGCTGTTACAACAAGTATTCAGTATTTCTCAGGTTTACATGGCTTAAATTGCTCATGGGCCCATCTATTTTTTTTAAATATTTTGCTTCTGAATGTAATGGTTGGGGCTTAAAAACAAGATTTGGTTGTGAGGTAGCAGACGAGCGAGGCCCAGACATCTCCTTACTTGTCACCTCTTTCAGCTCAAGAGATTCAAGGTGTTCCTGTTATGATCGAGGTCGTACCCAGGATGAAGGACCAGAAAACTGAACAGAGACCAGGACTCGAAGTACCAAAAGAACAGTGTTTATTTACAAAAAGTGATATTAAAGGTGATGACGTCTCTGTACAGGTGTCGGGAAAATATTTACAATATATATATATATATATATATATACAGGATCACCTGAGGGGCAGAGGAAGAGGTTAAGGGAACGCAGGAGGGACTGGAGTAATCTGTGAGGAATCTTCCTTACGTGGCGAGAGGTTGAGCAAGAAGGATCCAAATATGAATCCAGGTTGAAGTGGCAAGTGGTGGAAGGCAAAAAAGGCAGCTGCAGGGTCACAGGAGGGATTGAGGAGGAACTCAGGAGACTCAGGCAGGTTCGATGACAACACGAAAACAGGAAGGCTCTGAGAACGCAGAGAGAGACAAAACTTTAGTTGTATAACTAGAGAACGCAGTTTGCTGGCTAGAACATTTACTACCGTTGGCAGGCAATGTCCCAGCGCCTGTAGGGTGGCTTCTGAGTCTTCTTATACTCCTCAGGTGTGGTGCTGATCAGCTGCAGCTGCTAGTAATTAGGGAGCTTGAGGAGAGAGAGGACTGCAGGGCAGGATCCTAACAGTTCCCAGGCCAGCTGAGAACAAAATGGCACTTTGCCACTGTCCCAACAGTCATCAGTCCCACACCACATCGCACCAGTTAAGGGCCTGCCCACTGCTGGTAACCACTCCCACTCAGCCTGGTTTATAGGACCATCTTGCTTGTGGCGGAGCTCTGTCATTGGATGACCCGCCCAGCACATACATATCAAGTCTTATGAACTTCCCATAAATTATACAGGTATTTTCCCAATTTTCATGACTATGAACATACAAAAACTCAACTTTAAGTTTCTTTTACGTCTCAGAACCAGCCCGTAAGGACATGTTAAGGTCACCCCCTCCTTGTCCTCCTCCCTGCCCTGCCCTGACTCTGCTGCAGCAGCCAACAACAACAATATTCAAATGAATGGATTGGATAATTTGTCTTTGTTCAAAAGCACAAAAATATGTAAATGTATGAAAATCTTGTCAAACGCCATTGTATTATTCTCATTGTATCCTGTTTTTTTTTTTTTTTAAATTTCCTATCAGTAGCCACCAATCAAAGGAAACCATCTATATTTACTTTAAGTTAGTTACAATTAGTACATGTAGTATTTATACCACATTTGCTTCAAAGTTTTGTTACCTCATTTTGTTCTGAAAAAATAAAAATAAAAAACCACCAACAAAACATTACATTTGTGTTGTGTAACGTTTTAAAGGCTCATTTTTCCCCCACTTCCCCCTCTCTTAAGCCCATATTTCAAATGTACAGTAGTCCATGCACTTGTTCAAAGAGCTCATTCATCATTCTGTCTCTTACTCCAGTTGATACTTCACTGGAGTTTGATACTTCATCATAAAAATACAACAGAAAACACCTAAATATTTTTACAACGCTGTACTTTTAGTGAATGTTTTACTTCTGTTCTGAGCCTCCATTATTATTAAACTGATTGAAATGTTAGAGAAGGCAGAGGCCAAAGCTCGGTGACTGAACCATCAGGCTTTCCTTACTTTGACCAGTGAGGAAGGCTGGCAGCGGTCATTTATGAAGCTCCTTAAAATTTATGAAAAGTTATGTTCAAAATTAAAGGGGTGCTTTGTAGAGCACCCCCCCCCCCCCCCCTCACAAAATGTACAGTAATTATTGCATTGTAAGAAAAATAATAAAACTACAGGAGTAAAGTGTTTTATGAATAATTAATTTTGAAAAAAGAAATACAGTAACTGCATTAATGCAGAGTTTTATTCTTTTGCTGGCTGGCTTCCTATTTGATAATCAGACAATGATTAAAAAAATCAAATGAAGCTGCTGAATGTACAAATATTTAAAAGTAGCCTATTTAACTAATTCTCAATATAATTATGAACTTTAAGATTCTTTTTTTTAGATTAGCAGTAAACAAAGCATTATTTTTCCCATTGTTTAAAAAGGAAGTTCATTTAAAGAATCAGCATTTATTTATACAGTAGAACCATTTACAGCAGCAAAAAAGATGCACAACGTGCTTCACAGTACAAAAAATTTGAACAAACAATAAAAACAATTCAAAAATGCTAGAGTGCCACTAGTTATTACAAGCCAGCCTGAGTAAAATGTTTTTAAAATGAGATTTTAAAAAGCCCAGATCAGTGATGGAGCACAAATCACAAGGTACCCACAGTCTGGGTACAGCGACCAAAAAGGATGAGGATAATAAGAGAGAGTTAAATTATATTTACTACTCCTTTATTAACTTTGTTATTTACTTGTTATGTTATGTTGTTTATTTGCCATATGCAGGTTAACACAAGGTCAACATGGCAATGAAATGTTCAGGATGAGAAGAACCGATTCGACTCGTTAAGAAAAAAACACTAAAGCAAGCAATAAGGGTCAAAATAAAATACCAGAAGTGAAAAAGAAATATACCATAATTTCCAGACTATTGAGTGCACCTGAATATAAGCCGTGCCCACTAAATTTAAAAATATATATATTTTTGTGCATACTGTGTATTGGCTGCATTTTTCTACAAGCCGCAATTGTCCACGTTGTAGCATGAGATAGTTACATGGAAATATTTTTTTAAACTTTTAATTAAATATGTACTGTGTCCCCAGGGATGGGGGCACAAAGAGGAGGGAAGGAGAGAACGGGGGGGGGGGGGGGGG